ATCATAGAAAATGACATTTTCATAGCTGTCCACTGTAGTGACCGTCATGCATGAAAGGCTTAAAGTATGCATGTACATTGAGGAAAAGGCAATTACAGAGTCAATCTACAGGTAAAAGCTGGAAAGCTGGAAAACATGCAAACACAATTAGAAAATACAAAAATAAATCTTCCAGATCGACTAAAAAGATATGGGTGAACGTTTAGGTGGTTCAGGTTGAACTTTTTTTTTCCCTCTCAGAAAACTGAAATAGGCTACGTAAAATGAAGTTGATCGAGTCGATGTTTCTGTGTCTGTGTAGGTACTGATGTTAACATTGCAGAATGATCCTCCTTGCCTGGAGACTGGTGTTACAGACAAGGAAATGGTGAAAAAGTATGGCAAATCCCTGAGAAAGATGATTTCCTTATGTTTACAGAAAGATCCCGAAAAAAGGTCAGTTCATTTCTAAATTTGCATTTGAAATCGGATTTTACGTTCACAATTGGTTATAAATTGTATTGCTTTCACTTAGGGGTAGGTATTGCCAAGGACCATGATACAATTCTACATTGCGATATCCAGATTTTCATACATAATTACCCAAGTACTATACGTTACTGAACGCGCCAAGCTGAAATGTATGAGAAAAATAAAGTGCGCCTAGTATTTTTATCTAATGAAATTATTAATAAATGAATAAAAATTCTCTTCGAATAAAATTTAAAAAAAATGCGTATGCACACGCATACATGTATGTGCAGTATGTGTATCTGTATCTATAAGATACAGATACATGTATGATATGATATATAATATATAAGATATGATATATTTATATATAGAGAGAGAGATATATATTATATATATATATAAATATATATGTATATATGTAAATTATATATAGATATATATATAAATCTATATATATCTATATATATATGATATATAAGATATGATATCTATAAGTATCTGCACATACATGTATGTGCAGTATGCAGTGTGCTTATGCAAAGCTAGACAGTCAGATAACGGATAGAATCCTTCAAAAAAAAAAACCACAAGGCTTGACCTTGATTCTTGTCCTTTAACGAAATCTTCTATTTCCCAACTCAATCGGTAAAACTGAAAATTATACAGAGAGATAGAAACGCAATTTACTTTAAACATTGTACAAGTGAGGGGATTGCATAAGTACGATTCGATTAGCATCTATCAATTAACAAACTTAACAAAAAAAATTAGCATCTGTTGAAAACTAGCAGAGTATATTGTCAGAAAACAATTAATACTTAGAGATAAATATTCTCCGAGGCAAAAAAACTCCAACAATGTTATCTCAGTAGTCGGTTTAATCTGTATGTGTTCGTCTGAGCTTGCAACGGAAAAAAAAAACCAGCATAGCTGGAACTAACTGAAAAGAGCACTCACTCGGACGCAATTTCTCGAGACCAAAGAAAAGACCGCTCACTCCGACGCGGTTTCTCACAACCAAAGAATATAGCCGTTTTAAACGTGTTCAATGATTAATGTATGAACTTTAACTTTTTTGGGAAAAATGAATGATATCAAACTTTGACTGTCGATATTAAATCGGGATACAAAGTATTGCGATATATTGCCGTATTAATGTTTTTTCCCATCGTTACTTTTTTTTTTTTTTTGTTCTCTTCAGGCCGTCTGCTGCCGAGTTGCTTAAGCACAAATTTTTTACAAAAGCCAAGGTAGGTCCTGAGCCAGATTTAAAAAAAAAAATCAAACAAATTTAGGGAAAATAAATTTGCATCTTCATATATATAAACCCAGCCGGTATAAATGTAAACAATGTGTTTTTTTTGTTTTGTTTGTTTTTCTCAGAACAATGAGTACTTACAGGAGAAACTGCTTCATAAAGGTCCAACAATATCAGAGCGATCAAAAAAGGTCGGCTAATAATTCAAATAAATGTTGTAAAGATTCGCTATGCGTGCAAATTATTGTGATTAAATTCCCTCGGAACGCTTTGTGCAGGTGCGCCGTGTGCCCGGCTCCAGTGGCCGTCTCCACAAGACGGAAGACGGCGGTTGGGAGTGGAGTGACGATGAGCTGGATGAAGAGAGTGAAGAGGGAAGAGCTGCTGTGGCTGCTTTGCGGGTGAGACGGCGTAATATCTTCCGGATCTTCCCGTATTCAGATGTGCATTCTGAACGTTTTCTCTTACTTTTTTGGCATTAGTGCATTAGCTCAAATCACACAGATCATTTAAGGTCCTTAATATATTCCAGTGTATTTTTTCCAGGTCTCCTTTTTAATGCTGTTTTTGCAAGCCTGTTTTCTAAATCCATTTGGTCAAAAGTCAGACTAACGAGTCGAGTCTTGCGTGTTAGTCCTTTGCTAGCAGTAGATATACATTGGGTAACACGTCACTATTTTTTTTTTTTTTTTTTCTCATTAAATATACTATCTGTGAACTAATCAGATCTTGGCAACAATGCATTACAATTCAAGCGTACGGATAAGTCAATGTGACACCGTAATGTTACCGAAATGCAGTTTTCATATTTTCATAGATTTTCATCTGGATCTGATAAGTAGGGCGTTTAGAAATGATTACGTCGACGACAACCCGGATGGAGTAGGTTTTTGTTTTTTTTTTGAAGACGTTTCACCTCTTCATCCAAGGGGGCTTCTTCAGTTCTGACTGACTACTGGGAAGTTCTTGTATTTAGCCTCAAAGAAGCTGTATATACCCTGAGGCGGAATACCAGAACTTCCTAGTAGTCGGACAGAACTGAAGAAGCCTAAATGTATTTTTTGCCAGTTGCCCCCCCCCCATTTGGTTAGCGGTGATTAGTTGTTTACTAATTGTTTTTTTTTTTTTTTTTATGTTCATGGTTGTTTGAATCCAAGAGATGAACATTTAATTGTCATTTATATTTTTTTGAACTAAATGTCTTTTTAATCCCATAAAACTCCATGAGTCTATAGCAGGCGTGGGCCACAATTTTCCTAAAATTGAACAGTCATGAATAAAGGTTGAAAATGCCATTCTACACCATCTATTGGTAAAACATGGGTATTGCAGGGAAAAGGCAGAAGTATAATGATATGAATATAAATAAATTATATCATTTGGAAAAGTTTGGCGGGCCGGATTTAAAAAGCTGAACGGGGCCGCATCCGGCCCCCGGGCCTTAGTTTGCCCATGCCTGGTCTATACAATCAGTCATCTGTAATCCTGACGCTCTGTCATGTCTGTTCTGCAGTCACCCAGAATCAAGGAGGGCTCCCAGAATATGGAGGTGAGTCTGTTTGTAATATATTTGTAATGACATTTTAATCTGCGTCTCTCATATTTCCCCCCCCCCTCTCATTACTAACATTGAAAACGATCGGCTAAATCATTTGCAAATCTCTGTCGCGCGTCCAGCTTTTCCCACCAGCAGATGGCGCCAACTTATATCTACAGCCACCTGGTGTCACTTCTGACACCTCTGCGGTTGCCGGGCAAACACAAGAGGACGTTCAACCTCAGACTCCTTCAAAGACGGGGACCCCAATACATGCACCCTCAGCTCAGGTATGGGGGGGAAAAAAAAAAAAGACTGCTCAGGTATTGGAGAGATTTCAAAAAAAAAAAATTTTTTTTTTTTTTTTTTAATTTTTTTTTTTACTGTTGCTGCTTCAGGGATGAAGCCGGAGGTGATGCCAGCGTCCCCATCAGCCTTGTTCTAAGACTTAGGAATTCCAAGAAGGAACTTAATGACATTCGGTTTGAGTTCATGTCAGGCAGAGGTAAGGAATTATCTCTGAAGTGAGACGTCTGTGTTTCTGATGAGTGTGTGTTTGTTATTGTAATCCTCTCTATCCTCTCTCTCTATGTCTTCCTTTTAGACTCTGCTGATGGGGTTTCCCAAGAGTTGGTTACGGCAGGTTTGGTAGATGGTAAAGACGTAGTCATTGGTAAGTTTGACGAGTCGATAGTTTTCCAGTTTGTTCGGTTCAATAGAGGGTGCAGGTGGAATATCCGAAACTCTGGGCGAGCGTTGTCGTAAAAATCCAAACCAACTGAGCTGACTCATTTGCTTTTTGCATTTTGCCTCAAATAAACAACTCTGTGCCCCAAGAGAAAAAAACAGCCTAAAGCAACAACCTTTTTTTTTTTTTTTCATTGATGTGCAATGAAATTCTACTCTCTTTTTTTTTTTTAGTTGCCGCAAACTTGCAAAAGATTGTTGATGACCCCAATAGTCACAAGAATGTGACTTTTAAATTGGTGAGTACACGAATGTAGCACATCATTTGTAGGAATGCACACTTGTAATGTACAATTTCCCAGTCATTTCCCAGCCTGGGATCAATTAAATCTATCTATCTGTCTGTCTGTCTATCTGTCTGTCTGTCTGTCTGTCTGTCTATCTGTCTGTCTATCTGTCTAGTCTCTCTCTTTCTTTGTCTGTCTATCTATCTGTCTGTCTATCTCTCTGTCTCTCTCTTTCTCTGTCTGTCTATCTCTCTGTCTGTCTATCTCTCTGTCTCTCTCTTTCTCTGTCTGTCTATCTATTTGTCTGCCTGTCTCTCTGTCTGTCTATCTCTCTGTCTCTCTCTTTCTCTGTCTGTCTATCTCTCTGTCTGTCTATTTCTTTGTCTCTCTCTTTCTCTGTCTGTCTGTCTATCTCTCTGTCTCTCTCTTTCTCTGTCTGTCTATCTCTCTGTCTGTCTATCTCTCTGTCTCTCTATCTCTCTGTCTCTCTCTTTCTCTGTCTGTCTGTCTATCTATCTGTCTCTCTCTGTCTCTCTCTCTGTCTGTCTATCTCATCTATCTATAACAATACAAATCATTGTTTTTTTTTGGTGGGGGTCATCTGACTTTGTTTTCCCCCGTTGTTCAGGCGTCAGGTGTGGAAGAGTCCGAAATACCCGATGACATCAAACTCATCGGTTTCGCTCAGCTCAGCATCAGTTAAGGTGAAACGCAGTCTGCAACGAGAGACAAACAGAAACAAGTTACAATGCACAAATGCATTTTGGTCCATTTCAAGAAAGCACTACTGCCAAAGAAAGAAAGGAAGGAAGGGGGACGACAAGGAGGCGGCTGTTGACCGTGATGACGAAGATGACGATGATGATGAGGAGGAGGAAGAGTAGAAGTGGGGATGAGGCATGAGGTTGGCAAGAGGTCCAACCACAGCTGGAAGAGTCTCACGTCGTCACAGGAATTCCACTTGAAACGTTAGCAGTGCTCTTGAACAGCAAATGGGTGCTTTGTGTTCTTTGACTTTATGTTCTCCAAATATTTTTTTTTTTTAGAATTTCCTTCATTTCACATAGATACATGGCTCCGAACAACTATCAGCACTAAAATGTATTGCCTTTTTTTTTAAACACTTAATAGTCACAGTTAGTAGCTACAAAATAATCTTCCACATTGTGAAGTGGTTTTGCTGAAATAGAATTTTTTTTTTTTTTTTTTTTTGTACTGCAGATTTCACATCACACCGAGATCAGATTTAACTACACTGACTCGTACTGTTGTTACAGATGGTGTCAGGTGTTTTTGGCAAGCCTAAAAATTTTTTTTTTTTTTTTTTTTGCTAGGGTTTTTTACTATGCAATATCATTTTTTTTAACCATGTGGGACCATGGGATTCAAACATCAGTTCTGTTGGATTAGATAAATCATTTTTGTTTGTTTGTTTGTTTTTTTTAACTCGAGGGGGGTTCAACTAATGCAGCATGAATGACACTGGGAATAATTGAAACAGAACAACGACAAGTGTTACACAAGAACAGAAAAATGCAATTGCAACTTACCCACTTAGTGTGTGGGTTTTTTTTTTAATTTCCAGAACCGGCATGTGCTCCTTTGCAGAAGCTTTCATCTTGTGTTAGCTTGCTTGCTAACACCAAACACATATGTGGTAATAATGGAAAATACCATAATAATGCAAGTTGATTGAAGTAATAAGGCCTTACATTATCAAGAATATTCAACAGTAGGAATTCGATTTTGGTTAAAGACGATCAGTTCTAATCGAAACACTAATATTTTCTCAACCGTATTTTCCGGACTATAAGTTTGACTCTTTTTTTTTTTTTTTCATCCTCCGGCTTGGTTTGGCGACATACCCAGCTGCGATTTCTATATTAAAACATATAATTTTATGTTCGTTGTTTTCACCCTGACAGCCGCTAGAGGGCACTAGTGCAACTTATACTCTGCAGCGACTAATATGTGTTTTTTTTTTTTTTCTTCTTAATTGTGCATTTTTTTTGGCAGGTGGGACTTATACTCCGGAGTGAATTATACTCTGGAAAATACGGTATTTAATATTTTTTCATTTTTAAGAAGCTGGCTTCCTCCTTGGTTTTTCCACTTCCGCTTTGTGTATATAAACCATTTACAGACAGCTGGCCAACTATGATCTAAGATCCAACTAAGACTTGCAGAAGCAGCCCTAACACATTGTGTGAGTTGTGTAAATAAAAGTTCATTTCAACTCCAATTCTGCAGTGCCAGAAAATCTGCTCTCTATGCTTGAATTCAGTTACTGGGTGTACTCAAGCAGTGGTTCCCGGACCGGCACCTGTCTGTGGGTCAATTTGCCGCATAACTTACATTATTTCTGTTTCATTTTTTTTATCTGATTCTGAAACATTACCTGATTCTCTTCCGCTGTATCTTTCTATGACACATTTGATAAATGTCAAAATGCTTGCCTTGGATACTTTTATAATTTTTCCATCTCTACGATTGTGCTTCATCCATTAATAACATTACCTCGTTCAATACCAAATATTATATTTTTTTCAAATGTTTTCCATCTTTCTCAGTTTTTAGAATTTTATCTTAAAAACCAAAACTTAAAATTATTGACATTTATTTAATACGAAAGATTCCCCTAATGTCTCTATGTATTATTTTACTTAATTGTGGAAATGCATATTATTATATTAATAAATATAACATCATAATATAATACATACTACATCCAACCATCAAAATAAAGCATTTTCTTATTTCATCTAAATTATATTTATTAATATATATATAGAGAGAGAGAGATCATTTCATATACGAAACAAAATTGTGAAAATATTTTAGATTTACAATCACTTAAAAAGCCAAAGTTGTGTTCGCCACGCATTTCTGTGAAACATTTTAATAATACATGTGACAGTCTTTATGTAATCACTAAAAGATTCCAAATCACGTGACCTATTTTGGTTGAAAAATAATCAGCGGTCAAACCGTTTCTTGCGTACGTCAAAAGTGCTTTTTTTTTTAACATATTGGTAAAACAATTCCAATAAAAAATTTTTGGCCTATCAACCCAGGAGTTCATCCAACCAGCTCATGTTTGAGCCGGTACTTTTTGTCTCTTCTTGCCCAGTGGTTTTGCTTTCAGCCACTAAAAAACTGTCAGAAAATAAATTGTCATCGGCGTATACGTTGATCTGACTTACAGGAGTACTAAAAAATGCATCCAAATCACTCTGTATTACATTGGGAGTGGCTTCGAACGCACCTGTGCCGTGATGGATATCATTAACTGCAAAAATGTCCGGTGAGATGGATGACGGTGTCGTGAAAGCGTCGCCTCCTACGTCGGATGCTTTTTCAGTCGGTTGAGTGAAAACATTGTCCAGACCAAATATGTCCAGATCGTTAGCTGCGATTGCGGTGAAAGGTTTGGACGTTGGACTTTCATCCTGGGACGGAGGTGCTGTTTGCTGCTCTGTCAATACTGGTGTTAATTCTTCCTGCATTTGTATGATTGGCTTAGAATCAAGAACACTCACAGTGGATGAAATGATGTCTGCAGGACTGTCTAAAATTTGACCGAAAAGAACTGAAGAATCAGGAGAAAGTCTGTGGATGGGATCGGACTCTTTAGTATCCAACAGGTCCGGTGGCTTCGTAGGACAGACTTCACCGTTTGTTTGATCAACCTGCGCTTCTGGAGAATTGAACATATCTGGTGGCTTTTTCGAGCAGACCTCTCCATTGATTTGATTGGCCAGAGGCTCGTCAGAGACAGACATAACATTGTCATTAAAAATGTCAGCATTCATTTGATCATGGTTGTTCTTTTCTTCACCGTTATATAAATCGGTGAAGGACTTTTCAGGTGTTGGTTGCGTTGGTGGTGTGGCAAAAATAACATCTTTATCTTCAGTCTTGCCCGGGAATATAGACTCTTGATCTCCTTTTGGATCGTCGTGACAATTACCCGCTGAGGTTTTTTGCAAGTTTGCGAGAAGACCTTCATCTTTCTGACTTTCTATTGTTTTGGCCTCGGTAGTATTTGACTTCTGTACAGACTTCTGTAAAAAATTTGAGACCTGAGTCAAATAGCTGTTGTCTTTTCCCTCTCCAACGTTCTCCGTTACTTCTCCTGTATTTTTGTTATGTTCACGTGGCTTCTTTTGTAGACCTGATTTGGTTAAATCCTCCGTCTTTTCTTGGGGTGTTCCACCACTAGGTTTGACATCTGGTTTCTTGGCATCTTTTACCTCAGTTTTGTTGATTCTTTCAGCTCCATGTGACATAAAGAGCTTTAACAATGGGCTTTTTCCTTTGGACCATAAGCTCTGTTTGGCCTTAGGCTTTTCCGAGTGGTTTGCACAAGTCTTTGGAGGTTCGGTTCTCGCCGCTATCTTTTTCTGGGAATCTTCATTTGCTTGAACGGTGGTTAAATTATTCTTGTCATGGTCATCTTTATTGCTCTCAACTTCAAGGATTTGTTCTGCTGCGGACAGATGTTTTATGACCTGTGGTTCTTCAACAGTCTCAGCGTGTCCTTCTAAAAGAGTAAGCTCCGTTTGTGGACGGTCTCGACAGCTCTGTGCCTC